TCCAGTGGGTCCCTATCTGCACTGCAAGCATTATTTACTCATTTTTCCTAAGGAATGATGAATGTGCTGATATACTTATCTTGTTCCTCACTCATGCAGGCTTCCTCCTCTTCATGCAACCCTGAAATCACTTCCCTTCCCTGTCCGACTGTCAGAGCTCACTGAGGTCTGCAGGAGCATTGGACAGCAGAAGAGAGCGCCAACTGCCCGAGGAGCGATGAACAAGGGAAGCATTTCACTTTATCATCCCCAGCCTAGGACAGCACAAAAATGAAATACAAGACTGCATCCAACAATGTAGTTAGCAAGGAGATGGCTGCTTGATAAATGTCAGTTGTCTCTGCTCTTAACCCAAGGCAAGCACTGGCAAGAGGAATGCAGAAGGATAAGAGTCCAACATGTCACCCCTCCCTCTGCATTTTTCTTGCTAATTCTTGTGGCAAGAAAATGGCAATGTATGATTCAAGTCGTTAGTAAAGTTGGACATTTTATAGTACAATTGAACAATCTTTTTGAAAATTATCTGCAACTATATAGTGCAAACATCTATCTTAATAATCAGTTCATTTTTTATTCAGTCAGGTATCCCTCTTACTATCCAGTCTTGCCCATTGTTCAAAAATCACCCTACCTTACACTTAACTCTCAGCAGTTCTGGGCTCCCTCACCTCTGGATTGGATGTTAATTCTCAGCAATGGCTCAACACGGGAACTGTATCCAGGCAATGATGTGGATTGGCTTCCACTGCCTGAGCAGCATGTTCTTCATGTAAGCCCAATGGACAGCATTACAGCACTGGTACTGGATCCACAGAGTGCCCTGAACCATAGATTGGTTTAATGGGAATAAATTATGTACCTTATTTTATAAAAGTGCACATAGTTTGAGAAATTGTCTAGAACTGAAAGTAGGTTTAGATGACTTTAATACAACATTCTGTTGTTTACAAAATGTATTTTTACTCAAACCAATCAATGACTGAAAGCAGAAATATGCAACTTTATCATGAAAAGCTAGCCTGAGGGGGCAGTGGAATACATTGTGGAAGAATATATTTTTGTGGTAGTTATTTTTTCTGTCTCTATTTTTAGTCATTTAGCAAGTACAAATTTACATCTGAATTATGTCCCTTATACAGAACACATAATACATGCTAACAGCTTGAAGAAACATTGCAGACTAATAATGTAGGAAGATAATTCACAGTTAAAGGAAGGCAGCACCAATGCACATTTAGAGGAGCATGGACAGTTTTATGCATCAGCAGGAGACATAGGGGATAATTCACTAAAGGTTATCACATTATGTCGGTCATGTGACCACATATCACCTATGATACTGAAAATGTCAATTCACTGTTGCTTGTATGCGTTATTTATCATCAAGAGATTTTGCTGCTGTGGTAAAAAGGCGTTAACGCCAATTCACAGAAGGAAACAAATAAATAAATGCATGCAGTAATTAAGTAGTGGTCCAGGCTTGCGATAAGTATGCGATGTCAGACCCGGTTTAGGGGGTCAAGGATTGGTTTAAAGAAATAGACAGAAAAGTGCAAGCTGAACCAGGAGGCAGCTAGGCTCCACTCGGGAGTTGTCTCTGGAGGTTGGCAGACCTTTGAATTCAGTGGAATTTAAAGTAATGCAGGAGAGGAAGAGGAGAAGATCAAGAGTGCTTTCAGGAGCGCACATTGCTGGATAATTACATGGATGCTGATACCCTCCAGAAGTTTCGGTTATTCAAGGCAGTGTTTCTCAACCTTTTTTCAGTTGCGGCTCCCTTTAAAATCTATCACAATCTTGAGACACCCCATTCTAGAATGGAAAAACCAATCCAAAAATGTTTACATAACGCAGCTACATCCGCACACTTAGGACACCCAACCTTAGAGGCAATTTACTCTTCCAAAGCAAATATACCTTTGTACACTGGTACTGACTATTATTCCAGTGTTTATTTCCTCCCTTAGTTTCTCTCCCTCACTCATCCAATGTGACCCCATTGCTGAGGGGCAGGGGACGGGGCAAATATGGATGCTGTGTAGGAACCCGACATCCTCTTTATCCACTGATGATGCATTGGTTGTTAGGACACCAGTGACTGAAAGGTTGTAAGGGTGCACAATGAAAAACTGCGGCATGTTGTTTTGTTGCAAATATCTTCATGGCATTGTGTTACTAAAAGGCAGGCTTGATCCACCCGCTGGCTTGTATACAATTTTTGGGTAATTTTTGTAGGCATTTTGCCAAGGCACCTTTGAAGGCACCTCAGGGTGCCTGGGGTCCCTGGTTGAAAAAGGCTGATCCAAGGCACTAATTATGGAACTATATGCCCAACTCATAGGTTAACTTGAGCTCTTAACCCAGCAAAGTCATGCCATACCAGCCATGACTAAATTGTTGGGTGCATTACATCTTCTCATCTCTCATCACCAATATATTGCAAGATTTCCATGTAATAGCTTTCCAGAATCTCGTCTGAAGTGAGATCAAATTAAAAATGATTTTATTGGATTGCCAGAATCCCAAATGTGCTTGGTGCAATTGACTGTGCACATGTTGCTTTTTCTGCACCATCTTTTAAGGAGCATATCTAGTGCAACAAGAAAGGTTGCCACTCCTTAACCACTTGCCCTCCAGAGGATTTACCCCCCTTCTTGACCAAGTCCTTTTTTGTGATACTGTGCTGCGTTACTTTAACTGCCAATTGAGTGTTCATGCAACGCTGTACATGTAAATGAAATGTATGTCATTTTTCCCCACAAATAGAGATTTATTTCGGTAGTATTTGATCACCTCTGCCTTTTTTATTATTCGCGCTACAAACAAAAAAAAACTGACAATCTTGAAAAAAACATTTTTATTAACTTTTTGCTATGAAACATAACCAGTAAAAAATGTAAAAAATCAAATTTTGTCATAAATTTAGGCCAAAATGTATTCTGCTACGTCTTTGCTAAAAAAATTTCCAATGCGTGTAAATTAATTGGTTTACATGAAAGTTATAGTGTCTACAAATGGCGGTATATATACTGGAATTTTATTTTTTTTTATACTAGTAATGGCGGCGATCAGCGACCTATAGCAGGACTGTGGCAGGCAAGCATTTTGGCACTGGTAGGAAACTGACTAACTGCCACTGACATCCCCACTGACGCTAATAAAAAACACTGACACTGTACAGACACTGGGCAGGAAGGGGTTAACACCTGGGGAGATCAAAGGATTAACTGTGTGCTGTGTATGTTTTACATTGTGTGCTGTCTGTATTTTAGGGAGACATGCTGTGCAAAGAGATACAAAGCAGCATGTTCTTGCTGACAGGACAGAGACCTGTGTTGTCTCTCCCCTGTCGGCTTTCCCCGAGTGCCAGCCGGGACTCGGTGATTGAAATCTGTAGCCACCAATAGCGGCGCAGGTAGGGTGGCACGCATGTGCGTCCTCTACCGGAATAGTAAATCCCGTGTTAAATACACACACACGTGGTTTTGTGCGGCTCTGCCGCCATGTAGCAGTATTTCTGCTATAGGGCGGAGGACAAGTGGTTAAATGTCCAAGCAGTTTGTGACATGTCACAGGTACTGTCTCAGGATGTGACATTTATGTGATATGTTTGCAATAATTTACTGCACGGTTTCATGCGGTAATTACGGAATCGCATAATTTGAAAATATATTGTATGCGATATATTAAGGAGCGTTTTTTAGTAAATTACTTTTTTTTGTTCAGAAACGATGTGCGTTATTGTAGCGCATACTGATCATGATATATTTTATCTACTTTATAGTTTAACGGTCTTCCTAGTTACATGTCCATTACAGTTCATGTAAGTAAGGGCCTCTGTTGATGGGATTTTGTTATATACAGGTTTTGCATTCCCGTACAAGTCTATGGAAATACAAAAACCCACTTTAAGCAGATCCAGTGCAGCTCAGAAAGAGATCAACTGCAGGTCAAATACAATTGTCAATTCTGCATGATCTCAGAAGCATCTCAAACTGATGTCAAATTGATGCCATTGACACAAGTCCAAAGCCCGCATGGTGTGCCATTGTATCTTTAGCTCATATAGAAAATGATGCATTAGGGTAGAACTTTAGCTGTCCATTACAACAAAAGTGCTACAGCACTTAGCTTCCAGAGCATATGAGTGTTCTCTTAAAGTCCCCCTAAAAAGTTTTATATATACCTGTTCATCCTGTCAGGGAAGTCTACATCATGCAGCATCCTGTGATGGGGTGTAACCAGTGCTGCACTGGTCCTTAATTTGAAGCAGAGTTGCCACTCATGTAGGATATGACTGCTTATACTATAGTGGTTTAAAAAAAAACATTGCATTGTCACTACTGGTTCACAAGACTGTAGCTTGTCAATCAGCACCTGACCCCACCAAGCCTTTCCTACTGCTTTCTGAATTGATAGCACTGCCTTTGTTGCTGACACCATCCCATTGAACACTGTAGTGTTTGGGAGGGGGGAATATGAAGGACGAATTGGCTCATTTAGGAACAGTACTTTATACTTTACTTTGACTTGTGTCTGATATAGTACCTGGATTTAGCACTTGTTTAGACTGAACTACAGGGGCCTTTTGGTTGAACTTTAGCATGCTTGTCTTGACTGAAAAGTAAAGGTAGGCACCAAGAGGTGCCTTCACAAACCATATTTATTGAAGTGCCTTATAGGGACTGTGTCATAATAGAAATATGAGGCTGCCATTGCATTCCTCCTCCTGAAAATGCTAAATATCTGGGTGTGTCTGATTTCAGTAAGTGCAACTGAGGCCTAAATAAAAGCCCTGTGTGCAGCCTGGACCTGCAATCCTAAAGGCTCCGCAAGGACACAATTAATTCTTTGTAAATTTGCATGAGTACTTATAGGTACCATTAAATGCCTGCCCTTCAGCACTGCAATGTTAGCAACACTTATGCCAGGTCAGGTTAGAGCAGAGGTGTCAAACCCAATTTCATCATGGGCTGCATCAGCATTATGGTTGCCCTCCAAGGGCCATTTGTATCTGTAAGACTCAGGGGTGGACTGACCATTTGGAAACTCGGGCACTGCCCGAGGGCCCGGGGTCAGTAGGGGGCCCCATGAGATGCCCCTGGTACCTTTTTCATAGGCTTTTTTGAGTTTGGGCAAGGACACAGGGGTCCCATGATCCCCTATTGCCTGGGGGCCTCATGAGTTGTCAGTCCACCCCTGGTAAGACTAGATATCCAGAGCACCCCACCCCCTCACATCAGATGTCAAGAGCCCCGTCACCATCCGATGTCAAGAGCCCCCCAACCTCTCGTACATCACAGTGCAACCCCCTTTACCTTGTGCTGATTCCCGAGTCTACTGAAGGGGGTGCTGCAGCTGCATGGAGAGGAGCAGGACGTATAGGTGTTCTGTCCTCTCTGACAACTGCTGAGGCAGGGAGTGGGGGGAGGCAGAGGCAAGCCTGTCTGCAGCTGCATGGAAAGCACAGGATCTGATGGAAGAGTTATGTCCTCCTCTCTGCTTCTGACTGCTGAGAAAAGGCAGGTGTGCCGCAATTGCGGGAGAAGTGCATAGGCCACATGAAATAACCTGGCCACATTTGGGTCACAGTCTTGTGTTTAACACATGTGGATTAAAGGATAAGTTCATTTTTTGGGGAAAAAAAATAATATAACATTTCTATAGAAAAAAATTGCATTTGTCATTTTTCCCCACAGGTGCCTGCAGACAAGCCCTACAGCCTTCAGCAACCTCTGTACAGGCTGTCAGTTTGAAAGCTGCAGGGAGTGTGAAAGAACTACAAGGGTGCTCATCAGCACTCTTGCAGTTTGATTGAGAACTACAAGCTGCCTGCCTCGGTGGAAGATGGGGCTTGTAGTTCATTCATTCACTTACAGATCACTGTGAATGAATGACGTGGCTGTGCAAGTGGAGCCCCACACAGCCGTGATGCTTTTAAAAGTGGTAGGGAGCAGGGAGAACAACCCCCACCCGGTGTCAGGATGGGGACTGCTGGTGCATGTTACACGTTAAACCTTTAATATGGGTTTAACGTGTAACATGCTCCAAAAGGTGAACTTAGCCTTTAACTTTACAGACCACTATTTCTACTGGTGTTCTGTGATTTCCAAGCAGATGTTATTCTTATCAATCAAACAACACACAATTTATCAATTGGATATAATCAGTATATTCATCAAGGAACAGTGGAGCAAGTTCCTGCGAAGAAAGCATATTCATAGTTAGACAAAATGTTATGCAGCTCACCTGAAACTTGGTTTTAATATTATTCAAATTTTCCTGTGCATTTAAGATATTTTGGATATCATTTCCTAAACTCAGTGAAGACAAAGGCTGTAGATCATTTTCTAGTTCTTGTAATCTGCCACTTGCCTATTAAAAAAAAGTTAATAACCTTTACATTTAAATATCAAATGTCTTATATTTCTAGTGTCAAATGTTTGTCAAACCTCCTTGAAAACCATCCACCATAATTTGGCAAAAATGTGAAAAACCATCAACCTGTAGGGATTTAATTTACTAAATGCAAAAAAAGCTGTTCACTTTGCAAGGGAAGTTTCCCTTAGCTTAGTGAATGTGGTGAAAATTCACTTTGCAAACAACAACCAATCATGTACAAGGGAAATTAAACAAAAAAGATGTTTTTGCTTCACATGCTTGGATGACAGATGTTAGCAGAGATTCACTTCATTCAAAAAGCTAGGGGGAAATTTCCTTGCAAACTGAATAGCCCTGTTGGTCTTAAGTAAATCAATCTCATAGCATCCAATCAAAATTAATTTTAACAATTGATTTGTTGCTAGGTATTAATACACTTTACATACTGTAGGTACTTTATGGTACTGTAGAAATCTGTCTGTATTTGTGAATACCTGTACTCTTAATAGGGTTAATTTCCTAGGTCTCTGGGAGTCTGGGTTAAAAACCCCAGAGGAAGGAAGTAGATAGAGAAGTTTAGGAGACCACATGTCCACATGCAGGAGTTGCTGCTGTATTTTATCCAGGCCAGAAGCAGAGACTATTGGGCACTTGTTCCAGTGTTCTGGCTGTTTAAGTGTAGCTGCCCATAACTTCTCAATCTGAATCCTAGTGACAGACGAGTCCCTGTCCTATTGTTACTCTCACATGCACAGTGCAAGATATGTCTGTGCTACTGTATGTGTGTAGTGGTCACTTTCCTGTATATTAGTAGGTAAAACTGTTTATTGCAATATAGTTTACAATATATTCAGCTCCTGTTATTCTAGTTAACCCTCTAGTTCAGGGCTCAATAACCAGCATAGCTTAGAGCCAGGTTAGGCATCTGACAGCCACTTGGTAGTTAGAGGTCCAGTTGCATGGCAGATTAGAAGCTACTAGGAACTAAGATGCAGAGTAGATAGGCTGACTCCATGGTGGTTCCTGCTAGTGAAAAGCTGTGTTCCAGGTTGGTTGGACAAAGGTTGGAAGGTCTCCCCATAATTGCTGACCTCCCCCTTAGGTCTTCAACCCCAAGACAGTAACCACATTGCAATCATCTTCAGGGGCTCTATGCAACTGAACTTTGCTGCAACATTCATCTTGAGTTATCAGAATTGCACCAGGAATCCTGTTGGGCACTTTGCTATTACTTGCTTGTACATTGGATGTATGTAGTATTAATAATCTTTTCTTATATAAAGCTTGTATTAGTTCCATACTGGTGTGCATCTATATATGGTTAAGTCATAGTAAGTCAGTCAGATAATAAAAAAAAAAAGAAACAGCCGGCCCCCTGGAAGTTAATTCTATAATGCGCATACTAGCACATTATGGCAGACGTATTATTCAAATGAAGCTCTCCAGCAGTGAACTGTCACCCCTGCCAGGGCTTCCATCTTCACCCAGTCTTCCTTCCAGGTTTGCATGCTCTAGCCATTTGAATGGCTGGGCACCAATGATGTCACACCCACACATGCGCTTGGGAGTCACAGTCGCAGCACAGCACTCTGAATTGACAGCACACTGAGTGTGCCATCAATGTGTGCATGTGACTGCTGAAAATGGTGCATGTTTAGGATATACTCATTGTACCCTATGAGACTTATTGTAAGCTTACCTGTAGGTACATGTTTAAAATGAGAGTATACTACCGCTTTAATGTTATATGCTGTCTGTAGTAGTTCCTCTGCTCCAAATTACTTTGATTAGATTTCTGGGTAATTATCCAAGAAGAGAATCCTCTTTGTTCACAGATCCCTGTCCTGGGTGGAGGCCAACTTTATTATCAAAATGCACGCTTCCACTTAGCTAAGGATCTGGTTCTCTTATTTACCCACAGGTTTTCTAATATCCTGTTTGGGAAGGGTTATTTCTCATAACCCCAAAAGAGGGCTATGCTAGTAATAGTTAAAAATGTGTAAAATAAAAGAATACATTTACTGTTAACTTTAGTTAAAGTGTTTTTAAATCCTCACATATAAACAGTGACTGGCCTCAGGTGATAAACAGAGATAAAACAAATCCTCCTACATAGGTTTTACCTGTCTATCTGCAGTCTTCTCTTCTCTACATCATTTCAAAGTGCTGAATTTATAAAGCTAGTCTGAGGGTTATGACAAAAGGGGCGGAGACTGAAATTACACTCTGCAAAGATCAGTTAGGAAAGCTCTGAGAGCTGATTGGAAGTAAGACACACACCCCCTTCACACAGGAACAGAGCTGAGGCTGTCAATCTACTTGAGGTCTCTCCCCTGTCGCCATTTTTCTCCTGGTGTCAAGAAAACCTGTCAGAAGTGACAAGTGCAGATAAAGGAATGAAGCAGCAGACAGGAATGACACTATGGGGTTGATTTACTAAAGGCAAATACACTGCACTTTGCAAAGTACAGTTGCGCTCTACAAGTGCAGTTACTCCAGAGCTTAGATAGGTGAAATTTTATCATGCAGTGGTAAATGACCGCTGCTCAGTTCTCTGGCATTCTCGGAGAAGACAGTTCTCCTGTGAATGCCTTTTTATGAAGCAGTGTAGATCAGTTCTCTGAATGAAGGAGAGAACGATCTACAAACGCTGGAAAACGGCTGCTTTTACTATAATCTTGCGAGATTACAGTAAGAGATCAGTCAAACATCATTTACTAAGCAGCGGTAAATTATTGCTGCTTCATTTGCTGTTCCTCCGATTCTCCAGCTCTGAACTGGAGAATCTGGGGGGAGAACACAGATCGCCAGTGAAGGGCTGAGATCGCTCCTTCATATACTGGCCATCTATGTGCTGAGATGATCAGCGGACAAAATGTTCTCCGCTGATCATCTCTGTTTCCTAAACCACTAATGATGGAGATCAGCAACGATCCTTCTTGCTTGCACCTGATTGGATGATGGAAGCCAGCAGAGATTCTGCTCATTTACTAAACTCTGGAACAACTGCACTTGCAGAGTGCACAGCCTATTTGCCTTTGTAAAACAAACCCCTTAGTGCCTTAATTGAGACTAGTACACACTGTGATTTGTTCATATTTCTGTATTTATGTCTGAAGTTTACAATATTAACTTGCAAATGAACTTTTATACATAAAGTATAGCCTAAATGTATACCGATCTTAGCTGATCTTTAATTGTTCTCCATGTCTGCTTGGATAATTTTGCTTGATTGACATGCTGTTGCCAGACTGACCACAGATTTGTTATCTCAGTCTTTTCCTTATTTAGATTAGCCATCATGTCCTCCACAGTCTGCACATGTTTATCCTTCAGGATTTTGTCCTTGTTCATCTGAAATCAAAAATAGCTCTGAAACTATTCATTGATTGGATGATAATAGTGATTTATGATTTCAACTTTCTTTGATCATGTTCTTACATAAAATCCTCAGATTGGTATTATTTGCTATACATACTGTAACATTTATCTTCATAAAAATGCTTCAAATGCAACAGGACTTTACCAAGATGTAAAATCGATATCTATATACGTACATCTGATGTTTGAATGGTTTCAGGCAAGGATTAAAGAAACTTATACTAAAAAATAATAAGGTTATATTGCTGAACTTTATGAAAATGCAAACTGTCTGGTTGTCTTGCTTAACTTCTGACATCAGTTATTTTTCAGTCACTGGCTCCTAATCACTGGCTCGTATGTATGTAACCAGTGTACTCAACATTTGCATGTTTTTTGTGGGTCATTGACTCAGAAAGGTAGAAAGATAGAGACCGCCAAGAAGGCAGCATTTCCAAAAT